GCAATCAGCAGGTCAGCAGAGGTGAGGGTGTGTCAGGTCAGTCTAGAGGAAGAACGGAGAAGGCCAGGTCTTTCACCTCCATCAAAAATCAACATTTGTTCCTGTCACATACACAATTGCAGCTGGGCAGCGCTGACTCACCCATCGAGGTTTTTTTTTTATGACCACAACAGGTCGACCGGCACAATGACCTTAGCACAGTTACCTGCTCCATACACCCATAAACATGCCACACGTAATCATTCAAGCGCACACACTAATCAGGAGTTTAGGTTGGCGCGGGCTGATGTCCGCTTGGGTGAGTGAAAAGCTCAGTGTGTATAAACTGTGATCGGTGAGAACAGTTTGTGTGTACATGGAGGGAAGTTAAGAGAATGCTTTGTATATTCAGTTAAATTATTGAAACAATCATTGGAAAGGGTTGAAAATATAGTTCCCAAAGGAAATGAGGATCAGTTGAGGAATAATGAGGAGGAATGAAGAGCCACACTGGAGGTGGGAACAGGGTTGAGAGTTCATATGAAAGAAAGGACTGTTATTTTTCACCAACTTCAAGTTTAAAGGTTTATAAAATATGTCATAGATGCCCTTTTTCCTTCAAGTCCAGACAAAGGACAAATATGACCTTGTCTATTTGAAGACTTTCATTTTTTTTAAAATTCTTACTATGTTATTGTTGTTTCATCCTCCAGTGTCTGATAATTATATTTAAATCATCCATCCTTAGCATCTTCATCCTCTTTTTAGCAATGAGGAACTGCTGAAGTCTTCATTCATTCAGCTGTAGGAGATTTGCCTTGTTAGACAGAGTGAAAAATTGCTTTGACTTAAATTCAAATGGTTGTATCTCTGTATGACACATATGAATGTTGGTAGGGAAATATCATTTTCAGACTTGATATAGTAATCTTCAAGCTTTTTTAATTTCCTCTCTAGGCTGGACTGTGCATGTATTACAGTAATACCTAAAGTGCATTGGTTTCGAATGCATACTTCAACTTTACAGTGCCCCAAAAAAAGCCTTTGGCACTTAAGTCTCGCTTATCAAAAATGTATGAATGTAATCAATTACATTAGATAAAACAACCAACAAAGTGGCATTTGCAAACAATGATGCCTGACTGCAAAGACTTGTATGAAGTTTTGAAAGAGTTTATAACACTATAAATGTGTTATGAATTTTTTTAAGGAAATAAATCAAAATTATTTATTACATCTACGCATAAATTTGTTCTTTTAAAGGAGAACAGGAAATGTATTGTGGCAGATTAGTATTTGATAGTTGTGTTACAGCTTCGTGAGTGTCTGCTGCATTGGCACAATGTGAGCTCACGCCTGACTGCACATGCTCCATAGGCTCAATGCTCTAGAATGACATCATGTCTTTCTGTGTCATCCTATCACTATTCATGTGGCTTATCCTGCTAGTGTCCACTATATCAACACACGAACCCCTCTAGGGCACAATTACCAGGGTCTGAAATGCAAGGTATACCATGAAGTCAATGAAATAGCAGGGGTGGCGAACTCCAGTCCTGGAGAGCCGCAGCCCTGCAGAGTTCAGCTCCAACCCTAATAAAATCTCACCTGCCTGTAGCTTCCTAGTAACCCTTCAGACCTTGATTAGCTTGTTCAGGTGTGTTTGATTAGGGTTGAAGCAAAACTCTGCAGGGCTGCGGCTCTCCAGGACCGACGTTCGCCACCCCTGTTATATAGCATCAGTCTTTTTCAGTCTGATATAAACACTTTTTTATCTTTAATGAATAAAAAAGGGCTAATGTATGTAAAATGAAAATATTATTTTCTTTCTAACGTATTTAATTTTTTTTACACACTACACTATTATTAATAATATTGTATTGATGCCATTCTATTTCCACTTTTTATTTTTCCCCTATATCCACATCTTTATGAAAGAGAAACATGCCTTTATTTTGGGGTATCCGGGGGTCAGTAAGTTAATGTGTAATACTGATCATGCTGTGTTTGCTAATGCTTTCTCAGTAAAAGCCCTTTCTTTCCTGTGCTGACATTTCATACTGAAATAATAAATTATACTGACAATATATTTAGTTTCATACAACAGTTCTTTCTGGTCCACGAATCTGATTGGCTGAGAGCCTTTTCCAGCAGTGCGATATTCCAGTGATAACATAACTCCAAGCATTTTATTGTTTGCAACACTCTACTTGCAGTATTTCTCACAGCGAGTGTCATAACGGACGCCCAAATCCACTACAATTTTACACATAATACTGTTTTTGTGTCATGGAATGTAGTTTTAAGAGTTTTTTAGGTGAAAATTTAGTTGTTTAGACTTCAAATATGCAGTTTGTTAATAAAGATAATGTCTATTTGAAAATTTGCTTCAATGTTTTCGGATATGTGAGCTCCAGGGCGCCAGCGGTCATTCAGCGCTCATGAACCCGCTGAGAGCAGCCTCACCTCGGCCAGGTCTTCTGGAATTTGCCGCTGTCTCTGATGTCTCTATAGTGGTTAAACATGAGATATAATATGTTTTGGTAAATATAACGGGCAGTCTTTGGTCTAATTAATCTATTATTTGTTCCAGAGCAAATAGTTTTAGCTGAGGGCAAAATCTCATCATATTATATTTTATGTAACTTTAATGATATATATCATAGTGCTGCTTTTGTACTTTTGACTGAATTTTTGTAAGACCTTTTACCTTGTAAGATGCAACCAACAAATACACTGAGCAACACTGTCATCGGAAATCACCCTTAACAGATGAAAGGATAGTATGACAAAGATATCGCTTTCCTCAGCAGACATTCAAACCAATGTTTTATTGTGAATATGAGATTGAGCTGAAGAATGAATGCTGAATCAGATGCAGGTAATCACACTCGCTCAGTCAATCTCTCTCTCATAATACTCTACATAATACAGTAAACTTTTAATACAGTAAAACAGTAAGCTTTCAATGAAGCAACTCAACATTCCTTTGTTACTAGTTCTAAAGTGACGTTTTTAAATTAGTAACGGAGGCTTGGGCTGAGCTGTTAAACTGTCAAACTGAGATTTGAATCTGTGGCGGAAGGAAGTAGTTCCGCATAAAAGAGGGTTTTTAAAGACACTCCATTGTTGTGCCATTGAACTGTTGTATAAACGCAATATCACACTCATAGCCATGCGAGCCTGCGGCCTCGTGCTTATGGCAGAATCACAGCCATGCTGATATACAGCCATATCACACTGCTACTCGTGTGATATTGCTCATTTAACTGAAGACACATAGACAAATTTTGATGTGCAACATACTATAATCAATGGCAGGTTATGATCAACAGTGGGAGAGTAACATAGGACAAAACTTCTTAAAAAAGTTAAAATTTTGATGACACATTTGGCATCATAATTTCATTAAATGATGACTCAATTAAAGAATTTGTCCACTAGAAAGTTTATTTTTATATAGCCTTTCGCACACACATATAAAAGGACAACCTAAGTGACACAGACTTCAGTCTTCCATTAAACAGTTAGTTAATAGAGCTCTTCTCTTTATCTTGATGTTTGGTCCTAATGTACACAGCAACCAGTCAAATGTTTATGACAGATGTTGTGCAGAATGAGAAAATGAATTGTGTATCTTGGAATAAACTCTCCGTCTATGTGGCATAAAACATTGCCCATTGACTGTCAGTCATGTTGTTTTCCCTCCAAAAATTGTAGCACCAACTGTTTCCCCTGACAACAATAATTCAACAGTTTAGATAAGTGCTAAACAATCCCGAACTTTAAATAAACCATTCCCAAGTCTGATAGGGTTTTGCCAACTGTTGCATGTACTCTCTTAGTCAGAATACAGTCAAAGTATACAGTGATTTTGGGGTCTCTGAGACCCCAAACAAAACATGAAAACCAAAAAAAAAAAAAAAAGACAAATATCTCAGACTGTACACATTTCCTAACCTTCAACTGTTGGGTTTTGCGTAATGTTTAAAATCTAGGTGTGAACCAGTACTGACAAGAATGTGTCTGGCCAATAATTCAGCTGCACAGGAAGTTTTTTAACAGGGTATTGTTGAAGTTTATTCATGTTTTTATGTGTGTTTGAGCTTCCTGGCCGATATCATAAATATGCCATTGCGCTGAAGTTGCACCGTCATCACAAAACCATTAAACCTTATACCTCCAACACCCAGCTTTTCTGCATGTGTGCGCTTGAACAAATGCTTTATTATCACCATTTCCTAAGGCTGTCTCCCTTGTGAAATATCACTGTTGTCATAAGGTCTTTTGGCTCAGACTACACCAACAACTTTTTGTTGAAGATCTGTGGGTGGATAATTTACTGTGTATCCCACTTATACACTGAAACGCAAAAACTGTAATACCAGAATGCTGCTCCACCTAACATGAGAAGCCACGTCATGAAATCTATGTCAGTTTCCCATTTCCCATTGATGTACAACACATGAATCATATAAAACAGTACTGTCTGTTTTGGACAACATTAATTTCACTATATGAATTATATATACTGCTATTCAAAAGGTTGGGGACAGTAATATTTTGTAATATTTTGTAAGAAGTGTCTTATTCTAGACAATGCTACCTTCCTTTGATCAAAAAATACAATAAAAACAATTCTTGGATGTATCCTGTTTATCAAACTTTTTGGAACATGTACATATTTTAATATTAAATGATGCATTATATCTAATAATTCATACTGTATGTATTTATATTATCAAAAGAACAGGACGTCTAATAATCACAGATTGGTTTTCATCATCTGATGCATCCTTAAAGCATGTCATGATGAAGTAGGCCATTGCTGTGGACCTCATGCCCCAATTTTATTTTATTTTTTAATGTATACTTTTGGTTTGGGCCTGTGGACGGTGTCCTGTCCATCTGGCCCCTCTGGCTGCGGGTCTGTTGAACCTATTGTCTTCTGCATCAACACTCGTGGTCTGGTGCATAAAGGGCATCTGGTTAGCAGCTTAGACTCTACGGCAGGCATGAAAAGCAGCCATCATAGCCCATTTGCTCACATTTGCTCAGTGGTGCGACAAGGACGAGGACTGAGTCTGGGTGACTTGGGGACAGGATTTCAATTCGCCCCGCAGGCCCCAGGAGCAACGGACTGAACTGGACCCGCCACTGTGCAAAGGTGACCATTTAGGCTCAGTTCACTTTGTCTCCTTTTAATGCAATAGCTTTTTTTTGTCCAGTTTTCTTTTTTCTCTAAGATGTGCTGATGACTTATATTGCTGAATGTGAGCCCACTGGTGATGTGTTTTGGCAATGGCATATCTGAGTCTTACAGTTGTTTCCTGGTCCTATTTGTAAATGGTCAGTTCAGTCTAGTTTTGTTTATCAAGTAGATTTACTAGTGAGAAGGTGCATTTGGAAAATATTTTTCGTAATATCTTATCAATAACTATATTTTGAAATCTCTATAAAAAACACAACAGCAAGCGTATATGATGTATCAGGTTTATTATGTATGTAATATACTTTTGGACCATCTTGTTTCTCCCTTATTCCCATTTGTCTTTCTTGTACACAGCTAATACACAACCATGGGAGATTGGAGCTTCTTGGGTAATATTTTGGAGGAAGTAAACGAACACTCCACTGTGATTGGACGCGTTTGGCTCACAGTTCTGTTCATTTTTCGCATTTTAATTCTGGGCACAGCAGCAGAGTTTGTCTGGGGAGACGAGCAGTCCGATTACGTATGTAACACTCAGCAGCCAGGTTGCGAGAACGTATGTTACGATGAGGCCTTCCCAATCTCCCATATCCGTCTATGGGTGTTACAAATAATTTTTGTATCCACACCTTCGCTTGTATACGTTGGGCATGCTGTCCATTACATCCACATGGAGGAAAAGCGAAAGGAGCATGAAGAAGCCGAGGTTAGCCACCAACAGGAAATGGGCGAGGAGCATCTTCCACTAGCGACAGATCAGGGAAGTGTTCGGACCACCAAGGAGACCAGCACGAAGGGTAGCAAAAAGTTCAGACTCGAGGGCACTCTGCTTTTCACCTACATATGCCATATCATCTTCAAAGCTCTTTTTGAAGTAGCCTTCGTAGTTGGACAGTACTTCCTCTATGGGTTCCGCATCCTGCCGCTGAACAAGTGCAGTCGTTGGCCGTGCCCCAACACGGTGGACTGCTATGTCTCCCGGCCCACCGAAAAGACCATCTTTATCATTTTTATGCTTGCAGTTGCTTGCGTTTCACTGTTCCTCAACTTTGTGGAGATCAGCCACCTCGCCTTGAAGAAGATCCGCTTTGTGTTCCACCGACCAGCTCCGGCACAATTGGAGCCTCTTGGACCACCTGACAGTAGCTTACCATTTCCCCTGACCACCCCTGTCCAAAAAGCCAAAGGTTATAGGCGCCTTGAAGAGGAGAAGAAATACGAGGTGGCACACATATATCCACTAGCTGAGGTCGGTATGGAAGAGGGCCAGTTCTTCTCACCTCAGCTGGAGAAGGAGCAGAAAAGGAGTCAAGAGTCGGTTATGCCAACAACGCCACCTGTAGAGGAAACAATCATATGCAATGAGACTCAACCCTCCTTCATTCAGGTTAAAGAGACACTACCAGAGCTTCCCTCAGAGGAACCACTTCGGGAAGGTGATGAGGTAGACAGCTTAAAGACTCCGACAGCTTTACCAGAAGTACTGGAGGAGCGATCAGAAGGGGAAAGTGTGGAGGAAACGTATTTAATATCACTTAAGGAGAGTTTGGATATAAATCTAGGAGAAATGACCTGTAGAGAGGTGATTGAGGAAAAGTCAGTGAAAGAGAGTAGCTTAATAGATGCTGAGCCAAAACAAGAGGAAAAACTTTCAGGAACTGGAAAAGAGAAGGAAACCTCACAGGAAATTGGGGAAAAAGAGCATAACACCTTTAAGGTCAAGGAGTTGAGGGAAGAAGGGAGTTTACCAGATGTGGTTGAGGAAGAGACAGCAGCTGAGGTGTCTGAGAGGGAACTTGGTGAAATTGAGCCTTTTGTAAATGAGGCCATTTTGGAAAAGGTGAAAACTTTAGATGATGGTAAGATTAATGGAGATCTGGACGTGTCTAAAATATTTGAGGGGGAGCGAGAGTCTGAGGCTTTAGGGGAGGTTGCAGGGTCAATTTTATCTGACATAGTGCCCACTGGGGATGAAGTGGATATAGGAAAGGACAAAGCTAAGGGGGGTGTAGAAGATATGAAAGGGGATGGAGTTCAATGGGATGTAGTAGACTCAGAAGTGGGCAGAGCTTTAGAGGAAGTAGTAGATATAGGAAAGGGCGAATCTGTAGAGGGTCTAGTGGATGCAGGAAGAAGTTGTGCTTTAGAAGATGTATTACATACAGGTAAGGATGAAGCTTTAGAAAATCTAAATGAAGATAGACCTTTTGAGACTGCAGTCAATAAAGGTGAGGAGGCTCTAGATAAATCTGTAGGACTTGCTGTTGACACTGAACAGGTGGAAAATTTGGGAAAGGAGGAGGTATCCTTGGAGATAGGAGATCCAGAGGAGGTCCAAGTCTCTGGGGAGTGGGATGGGTCAGGGAAAGAAGAGGATTCTGTGGAAACTGGAGGCCCTGAGAAGGAGGAGTGTTCTGAAGAATCAAAGGTCTTGGAGGCCATAGAGGAGATGATGGATGTTCCACTTGTAGCTCTGGAACTAGAGACGACAGAGGAAACAAGATCATTAAGTCGTCTCAGCAAAGGGAGCAGCAGACCCAGGTCAGATGATCTAACTATATGACTGACCAACAAACAGAAACTTAACCAAAGATCAAAGTGTCAATTCTTTGATCTCAAATTTCCCAAATCAGCTTACAAGCATGTTTTCTTAAACAGGTTTTTAAAATGTTGATGCCAAATGATGCTCCCCTTATAAGGAGCTCCCTTACTGAAGTATAAAGGCAGCTATATATTTTCTTTGATGCCAAATTTCCCAAATCAGCTTACAAGCATGTTTTCTTAAACCGGTTTTTAAAATGTTGATGCCAAATGATGCTCCCCTTACAAGGAGCTCCCTTACTGAAGTATAAAGGCAGCTATATATTTTCATGCTTGAAGTCCCATTTATACTGCTTGAGAAAAATATTAAGCATTTCTCAAAATTGTGACCCTGGACCACAAAACCAGTCTTAAGTCGCTGGGGTACATTTGTAGCAATAGCCAAAAATACATTGTATGGGTCAAAATTATAGATTTTTCTTTTATGCCAAAAATCATTAGGATATTAAGTAAAGATCATGTTCCATGAAGATATTTTGTAAATTTCCTACTGTAAATATATTAAAAGTTTTTATTAGTAATATGCATTGCTAAGAACTTAATTTGGACAACTTTAAAGGCGATTTTCTCAATATTTAGATTTTTTTGCACCCTCAGATTCCAGATTTTCAAATAGTTGTATCTCGGCCAAATATTGTCCTGTCCTAACAAACCATACATCAATGGAAAGCTTATTTATTCAGCTTGCAGATGATGTATAAATCTCAATTTCAAAATATCGACCCTTATGACTGGTTTTGTGGTCCAGATTCACAATTTTCATGGACCCCCTAGTACACCTTTGTGGTGCCTTAAGTGTCCTGGGTTCCATGTTTGTTCTAGATCTTGAAAGCAAAGTAACACAGAACAAAAACTAAATTAGGGTCAAACTATAAATATCCTCAGATTTTTAAAAAGTAGCCAATTTGTGAAAAGTATTTAAAAAAAATTATTAAAGCCATACAAAACTTAGGTTGTCTACAAAACACACAAAAAAATATGATGGTCTTGATTTTAAATAGGTTCTTTATTCACACCATTTATTATAAATCCTATGCAATATAGCGACGGTTTCACATTCTAAATTTATGCTTTATCTGTCTACTCTGTTGAACGGTTATGTTAATCTTTACATTTGCCTTTTATTGATCCTGGACCATAGAAATAATTATGTTACTGTTTATAAATTTTCTACCAATATGTGTATAACATTCACATCCTTTTTGTTTTTAACTTTCATCTGAATTGCTACTTAAAAGGATGTTTTTAAAATGACAGAATATTGTAATTGAAAACTGGTATTCTTCTATAATTTAGTTAGGGCTCAATATTTAGGACTGTATCATAAAAAAAACATATAACAATAATATTATGCTGTGTGTAATACCTCTCCATCAATGATCTTTTATTGGTTTATGTGTCAAGTTGAGGTCCCCAAATAAAGGTACTACAATGACTGAACCCAAAAGAACCTTGTGTTTGTCTGTTGTGCAGTATAAAGCATTTAACCTAACCTTTGATATTAACAAGCCTCTATCTGACATAAACAAAATGATTTAAAAAAAATACTATTCACGTCACACTTCACAGAGTAACACTGGACTGAAATGAATCTTTTATTACCTCTAGTGGTCAAATACATAACTTGATTTTACTAAGGTGTTACTAATTTCTTCTAATTTCACATTAATTTCATTCAATTCATATTTTTGTTTTCATTTAAAAAATGTATTCAGTTAAACTTCCATTGGAAAGTCACATACACCCTGAAACAAACAACTACAATCCCAAAAAAGAAACTGAAAGTAAACAACTAGGTCAATGTGGGAAGACAAAAAAAAAAAACGTACATGAAAAAGGTAAACAAAAAGTAATGTGTCAAAATATTTTCACTTTTTCTACTATTGAAAAGAATTTTCTTTTACCTGTTCGACTTAAACCAGTCTAATTTGCTGAACTAGTACCTTTAAACTCAGGAAGACTTCTCACTAATGCCTAAATTCAACATTACTGTGGGTGTAGAGCTGTTGCACTGCAGCGGCAATGCAACACTTCTGTGATCTTGATGCACAAAGTATTACATTGGTGATTTGAGTCTTTTGGTAAATGTCTCCAGTAACTTTGACTCCTGGCAAGTGAATGTCTAGTTTTCTCTGCTGTCCTGAAAGCTGTCACTCAGAGTTTGATCACACTGGTGGTATGGTAACGCCAAAGTGAACCTGATATGTGAACCTAAAAATGGAGAGACAGAGAATGTGTGTCATTACAATTAAAGTTATAGGAGACAAGGTTTGGAATTTTACAAGAAGCATACATAACAAGATCATCCAGAATAGTGCTTTTTGTCAAAAGATTCCCTTGCCTGTTTGTTTCTCTTTCTATAAGGCATATCATATAGAAAGTTGTCATTTCTCTTTCCTTTTCTTGTAAACACACAACTTGCTGTGTTCACACAAAAAAGGCCACCCACATATTCTAAGGTCAATATAACACATGTGTTAAAACAAAACTCCCACCTGTTTCCATTTGTGCTGATCTATGTTGAAGCCTCCATTTCAAAACAGAATCATGGAAACCAAAAGTTATTTACATAGATTTACATAGATCTATGCCACCATCTGCAATTTAGGGTTAGTTCTAGATTTAAACTTTAAGTGGCCTTCAATTGGCAGTTAAATCTAATAGGATAGGCCCTTACATCCAGTCACTTAATAATAAGATTCGCTGTATATTTTTAAGTTACGTTCTTGAAACGTCCTTGATAACAGGGCTATAAATACACTACTTTAGTGACAAGACAAAGGGATGTAGTTGATGTGAAAACAGCATTGACAGTAGCAATGGTTGTCCCCTCCACCATGTTTAAAGATTATGACCCGCCCAACTCGGAAACTCTGGTATCAAAATTATTTCCGAATTTCCCAGTAGTAAATACGACTTGACTGGAGTTCACGTCTAATTTCGGATTAGGAAACTTGTATTTACGATAATTCCGATAGCACATGAAGGCAGCATTAGTATTGGGAAACAGTGTGTGTGTGTGTATGTGTTCATGATGGTGATTTTTGTGACATTGTTCCGCCATTAGATGGCGACAAGAGACTGTTTTATGAGTCAGCAGTAAAGACTTTTATATTGAAAGAGACTGAAACAGAAGTTATTTTTACTTTTAATAACAGCTTGTAAGACACAGTTAACAAATGCACTGATCAGCGCTGTCATAGGAAATCACCATTAAATATGAAAGGATAATAGGACAAAGATATCGCTTTCCTCAGCGGACATTCAGACTAATGTTTTATTGTGAATATGAGATTGAGCTGACGAATAAATGCTGCATCAGATGCAGGTAATCAAACTCGCTTAGTCAATCTCTCTCTCATTATACTCTACATATAATACAGAGAGCTTTTAATACAGTGATACAATAAGCTTTTAATGAAGCAGCTCAACGTTCCTTCGTTACTAAAGTTCTAAAGTGACGTTTTCGAATTAGTAACGGATCTTGAACTCAGCTGTTAAACTGACAAACTGAGATTTGAATCTGTGGCGGAAGGAAATAGTTCTGCACAAAAGGGTTTTTAACGACACTCCATTGTTGTTTTTCTTATATATTTACACACTCGTGCTGTCGAACTGTTGTATAAATGCAATATCACACTCATAGACGTGCGATATGGCTGTATATCGGCACACTGTGATTACCTACGGCCGAATCACAGCCGTGCCGATATACAGCCATATCTCACGTCTACGAGTGTGATATTGCTCATATATATATATATAATTGGAATTCTTTCAATTTAGATTTTTGAATTTTTTTCAATTTTTAACTTTTTGTCTTATGAACAATTTATGTCTTTATAATTTCCCCTTACCTTTTAAAGAATATAATGCAGTGCTAAAAGCGGTTCCTTCCGGTCTAACTCAACTTATAAAATGTCATTTAAGTTTTAGTAAGACTGACACCGAAGAACGTGGTTTGTCATTAGATGGAATTAGTATATTTAACAAAAACTGTAATAATAAGCATATTCTACAAATTCTCCAGAAAAAAAAAATTAATGTTCCTAAAGGCAATTTTTTCTGGGCATCTCTTATTGAGGTTTTAGACTGGAAAGAAGCCTGGCTGTTAACTCACAAGTACTGCATTCCCAATAAAATAAAAGAAGTTCATTTCAAGATCCTTCATAAAATATATCATG